GTTTACCTCAGGCAGAGGGATGGGGCAGACATAGATCCTTCATCCCTGAAAGGTTTAATTATGTTCAAAGCTGGTAAGAGAGCTTAGCAGGGGGGTATCTGTGCACAGGCTGAAGAGTAAGAGGAAAGGCAGGAACGGCAGGACCTGGTGAGCTTGAGAGAAGTTGGGTTTCCTGTTTGAGGAACAGAGAGAACAAAGAGGTGTGCGGGGCTGGCAGGGAGGCCAGTGCTAAGACTGATGGCCCTCTGTGGCCGGGCAGCAGATGGGGGTGTGTGGGAGGCAATGGGGGTCCACTGAATACTGCCACCCCTGCTCAAAGACGGCTGCCCCCACTGCTGGCGTTGTGCAGGAGGAGGCTAACTCCCTTCCAGGGCCACACAGGACCTTCCTGACAGGCCCACACCTGGTACACAGCCCCTTTGTCAGGACCTTTCAGCTCTGGCCAAAGCCAAAAAACACCCGCGTGTTCCCTTTCTAGATCCCTGAGATGGTCCCTGTGAGTGGCGGGGGTGTGGGCGGAGTGGGGAGGGTTTCTTCCTGGTACCATCAGCTTGGCCTCACTCAGGCACGGAGTTACTCTTGGCCATGCTGGTTCTGTCACCGGCCCTCGGGCCCCCTTCCCTGTGCAGTGCAGGCCCCACCAACTCTTTTCCCAACCTCTGACCCTGCAAAGCTCACCTTGCAGGGAACAGGACTCTACACATTCCCTTGACAACCAGCTGGCTGGGACAAAGTCCAGGCCACTGCAGCTGGATGAACAGTGATTTCCTCTCCAGGAATGGCTGGCCTTTGGTAGGCCCCTAACCCAAGGGATTGAGGCCCAGGTGAGAGGACCAGAGGGCTAGGTTAGGGCCCAGTACTTGCTCTGGGCTGGCAGCAGTGCATCTGGACTTGGGGGCTTGTCTGGAACACAGAAGGTTGACAAGGGCAATAAACAGATCAAAGAGCCACCTTCGGAGGAGGGCAGAACTGGGTCGGAGAGGGCCTCTGCAGTAGGTGTCAAAGCCCTACTCATGCTAGACAACCCTGCCTGGAATGTGTCCGCCAGGGAATTCAAGGCTGGTGACCGGGATCAAAGGCTCCACAGCGATCTGAACACACAGCAGACACGTCCCGCACCAAGGAAGGCCGTGCTCACTCCTGTTCTGTTCACACTTCCAGGGGAAGTCCCAGCCCTCCACTGCATCCCCACAAGTGCAGTCCCCAGCCTGTGCCCCGAGGTGGCTTCCTGCATTGCCACTGTCACCATCAGGGCCTGTTCTCACTGCTTTCCGCTGTTCCCACAGACTTGAATTTCCTGACAGCAGGAACTGTGGCCTGTTCCCTGTGGACTCACAATGCAGCTGTGCCCGGGTGTGGAAGGTGTTTAATAAATGGGGAATGGCACCTGCCTTGCCTAGACTGGGAACAAACAACTTGGAAGGCATGGGGAGTGAAGGTCAAAATCCCACCGGAAGCAGATATGCAATGATTAGGGCTCAGGGAGGGCCGAGGAGCTTGGGAGGCAGCCGTGAACTTGAAGGACAGTTTTGGCTTCTTGAGGGTTTAGGGCCATGGGCCACAGGTTGAAGACAGCAGGGTCCCTAGAGAGTGCAAAGAGGTCTCCACCTCCCCAGGGCAGGGTGTGGTCGTGTCAAAGTCTGTGGGCCTCAGCTGTCTTCAGGCATCTCCTTCTGTGGGTTCCCGGAAGGCCGCTGCCTCCCACCTTCCGGACCTGACAGGGGCCTGTGAAGGGTGTGAGTGGGGCTCATAAGCTGTCTTTGGTCCAGTCCAGAAAGCCTAGAGTGGTCACCTGCAGGCTTCTTAGGAGCGCCAAGGGGAATTAGGCCGGGAACATGCAATGTGCCAGTCCCCAGCACCCAGTGCGCTCGGTGTGCTCGTTACTTGATACATTCAGTTTTGGAGGCAAACCATATGGAGAGCGAGGCAGATATAGGAACGTGTCTTTGGGGCTATGAAGGAAATGACAAGGGAACAGCTGCTCTTCCAAGGACCTTCCTCAGCGAAGGCCAGAATGAGCTAGAGGCCGCGGTGCGGCCCTGTTGCCCCCTGGTGGTCAGCGGGGGTCACAGCCCTCAGATGCGCACTCGGGTCTCCCAGGAAACCTCTTCTGCAGCTGAGAAGCCTGAGACCTAAATGCGGCCGGATGGCTTGGACTGCCTCTCTTCAGCCAGTCGGTCCCCTCCTCAGCCAGCTGGTCCCCACACTGGCCTTGGGGTTACCAGGAAAACTGAGGACCAGCACAGATTTGTTTCCAAGATGTGGAAACTCCTTCTGAAATATGTGTTCACTCTCTGATGACTTATGGGTACGAGTCATTTCCATAGAAAAGGGACAGATGCAGGCACACATCAATGGCTAGGAAGGAGGGACACCCATGTTTCTTAAAAGACGAGTAGACGTGCATGCAGAATCATCACACTAGCCCTAGCAGAGGAGTTTTGTTGTTGTTGTTGCTTATTTTACAGATAAGGGAGACCAAGCCTCAGCAAGTAAACTGACATGCTCAAGATGACACAGAAAGTTCCCGAATGGAAGCATTGCCTTGTGCCCTAGATGCCACAAGGCCTTAGAGACACGGCATGTGTCAAGCAGTCACTGGGGGTGTGGACTGGAGACAAGCTCTTCTCTGCCCTCAGGAAAGGGTGAGGGGGGCAGGAGGACTCCCCTGCCTTTGCCCCCTTCCCACCCAGGCTTCTGTGTTGATGCCTGAGTGGAAGCAGCACAGTGCTGGCTCCCAGGGCAGATTGGACCAGCCCCAACCCTGTCCCAGGGGCTGTCAATCCATGGGCCAGTGAGAGGCTTGGCAGGGGAAAGCCATGCCCAGCAGAAAGGGCTATCTTTAGTCCAGTCAACTCCTCTTGGGGCGGTGGGAGTGTGCCCTATGGAGAGAAGATGCCGCACATGACAGAGAAGCGAGGCAGAGGGTAGTCACGTTTCACAGAAGCAGTGCCGGGGCAGGGAATGGTCTGCTCCTCAATGCCAAGCCATGAGATGGTCCAACCCATTGCTGGAGCTGGATGTGGTATCTGAACATCCTGTGCTCATTTAAGCCTGCTTCTGTAATGCAAGCTCTCTCCTTGTGCTTGTTTGACAGATGAGGAAACTGAGGCACAGAGAGATTGTGTGACTTACCCAAGGTCACACAGCTGGTGAATGGTGAACTGGGGTTTGTGTTGTGGCAGGTGGGTGACTATGTCACAAGGGTGTGTGGGGAGCTCCTGTCTGTCCTGTGTGCTTGAGGCTACTGCAAGAAGCATGAAGGGCGTAGAGAGCAGTAAATATTGAGGGAATCTAAAGAAATGCAATGCTACTTGCAAAAATAGTAAAAAAAGAATCAGTATAATTTCTAAAAATAGCTAATGAGAAATTTCTAGCCCCACTGCTCTCCCAGACATTATCACCTCCTCATCAAGAGATGGAGACTAGTTCTCTTATGCTCAAAACTCAGTAGGACTTCATGTGACTCTTGATGAATAGAACATGGAAGAAGAGATGCAGCTTGACTTCTGAGGCTAGGTCATCAAAGGCAATACAGCTTGTTCCTGGTTCTCTCTTAGGAGACTTGCCCTTGGGAACCCAGCCGCCATATTGTAGGGAAGCCCAGGTCACATTGAGAGCACACACTTACATGTGACCTGGGCTTCCTTACATCCCCAACTGATATTTCGGCTTTCTGCCAGCAACACCAACTATCAAACATGTGGGTGAGTGAGCCTCACTTCTGCCAGGCATCACTTCTGGGAGAGCAGTGAGGCTAGAAATATCGCATTAGCTATTTTTGAAAATTATACTGATTTTTTTCTTTACTATTTTTTCAAGTGACATTGCATTTCTTAGGGTTCCCTCAATATTTACTGCTCTCTACACCCTTCATACTTCTTGCACCTTGGACCTTTTAGCTGGGAGATGACCTTGCTTCCACATGAAGTAAAGCCCTTGGAATTTTCTTTAGTGTCTATTGGTGGCAAAGTCTCTTTTATTTATTTATTTATTTATTGAGACAATGTCCACTCCACCCAGGCTGGAGTGCGGTGGCACCATCTCAGCTCACTGCAACCTCCGCCTCCCAGGTTCAAGTGATTCTTCTGCCTCAGCCTCCTGAGTAGCTGGGATTACAGGTGCCCACCACCATGCCCAGCTAATTTTTTTAGTAGAGACAGGGTTTCGCCATGTTGGGCAGGCTGGTCTTGAACTCCTGTCCTCAGGTGATCCACCTGCCTTAGCCTCCCAAAGTGCTGGGATTATAATCGTGAGCTACCGCACAGTGCTGAAAATATTTTGCATGGTGTAAAATTCCAGGTTGACAGTTAACTTTTCTCTCAACAAAATGGACATGCCATTCCTGTCTTTTCGAATCGTCACTGAGGAGAGCTGACCACCAGTCTATCTCTGGCTGTCTTTGTGACCTCTTTGTCTTTGGTGTTCTGCAGTTCACTGTAACACGTTTAGGTGACTTCTGTTTTATTCTGCTTGCTCAGGACATGTTTGGATTTCTCAAACTTGAATTGGTGAGTTGGAGAACTCCCTCTCCCCAGGCTCTCATTCTTGTCTCTTCCCCGCCATTGTCCTCACAGGGCTTATACTTTTGAAAATAAACACCAAGAGATGTGTTCAGGCAAATCCTGCTTTCTTCTGCCCTGTGACCCTCCCTCTCCAGCCAAGGGGACACGCAGAATGACTTCCTGGAACTGGGAAAGAAAAATTATCTGGGGGTGAAAATTACATGGTGCCTCAAGAAGTCCTCCTGCCCTGTGGGGTCTGTGTGGAGGCTCCAGGGCTGGCGCTTCTCGTGAGGGCCCCAAAGGGCCACCATGCACATCTCTTCCTCATTGGCCTCAGTGAGGTCACACTATGAGCTTGAGAATTGGAGGGGCATTCTCTGCCCCAGGGCCAGCTGTCGTTACCAGCACAGCACCGGGCAGGATCCACAGCTAATGGCAACAGAGTGGGAAGGGCTGAGCTGAAGTTTAGAGCCGGGACAAAGCCAAAAGGAATCGTTTCCTTTGTCAAGTTTATTTTATTAAAATATACAGGACTGAATACTAGTGGATGCTGAGAACAGGAACCACCCTCCCAGGCCATGGCCAAGGGAGACGCTTCTGCCATGCAGACATGCGGCTGGTCTGTGTCCCAGTGTGGGAAGCTCCTCCTGGTTGGGCCGCACAGCCAGTCTGGCTCCAGACTGGCAGGAGTGTGGTGGTGGCACTCTCCTGAGGCCTTGGCCCTAGAAGCTGGGAGGGCTGGGCAAGGGGTGAGGGGAGGGAGGAGATCCCTGAGCCAGGGAAAGCTCATGCCCTCCTGGAGGCAGAGGCTCCCAGTGGGCCTGGAGCCTGGCGTCAGTGCAGCTCCATGGGCGAGGCCAGGCTGTGCGTGAATGCCGAGGGGCTCCCACAGCCTCCACCATACCACCTTTCCTCTGAGGGTCTGCTCACTCTGGGGCTAGCCTCCTGGGGCACCTGGGGCCAGGCCTGAGTGGAGCTGGGATGGCTGCCGATGGAATGTATTATGTGGGAATGTTCCTGGAGGGGCCGTGCCACCTGGGACCAGGTTCCTTCTCCTCGAGGCCCCAGCAGGAGGGAGCAGGAGGGCTTCTGCTGATCCCCCAGCTGCAGGCTCCTCAGCCGTTACCACTGGCTCCAGCTTTGGGCTGGCATCCTCCGTCCCCAGATGGAGGGGACAGCCAAGCAGAGTCCCGAAACTTTGTGCTTTTGAATGTTGCTCGGCCAGGCTGGGCTAAGGCTGGGCTTTGGGGCCCCAGTGCTGTCAGGCACAGGGCAGACCCCCCCATGCGTCCTCCCTAGGGCCACTGTATTGAGGCTACTGGGCCCAAGCCTCAGCCAGCAAGAGGGCCTGACTCTGAGAAGCAGTGTGCTTGGCTCCCACTGGGGCTTTGCCTGAGCTGTTAAGGGTGCTTGTGCTTTTTGTGCAAGGCTGGGGCAAGCCTGGGCAGAGGGACGGTGACACTGCTTCAGGAGTGGGGCTCAGCCAAGCCGCTGGGCCATGGGAGGGGTGCTGCAGGAAGAGGAGGGAGGTGCCCCTTTCCAGGCCCCTCTGAGCTCTGCCCTGGGCTCCCTGGCAGCCAGTTCCTGAACCACGTGCCTCCTCCCGGGACCTAAGAGGACCTTGGAGGGAACAGTTTGTGCTGGAGGGTGTGTACATCCCCACCCACCACATTCCCATTGAACCAGGACTGGGGCAAGGAGAGGCTCATCCCACCCTGTGGAGTGGGCAGAGTGCCCTCAGATTCTCCACTAAGACCCAGTCCCTAAGCTTCAAACTCCTGCCTTCCTGCAACGGAGAGAGAATGGGGCCCAGTGGCCCCTCACCACCCAAGCTTGCCCCAGAGTGGGTAGCCTGCCCCCAGGGAAGCATTTTCAGAAAGCTGCAGGCTCAGCCTCCATCACCCCCGTCTCTCCTGCCCCTCAGCTGGCCCTCCAGGGTCCTGAGGCTTTCTAGAAGCGTAGGTTGTAGGCAGGGAGTGGCTGTGGGGAGGAGGCTGGGGGGCCCGGAGCTGGCCCACTGTGTGGCAAGAAAGCAGAGTGGAGAATGGGGCGAGGTGGGCTCACACTGGAGAAGGGGCCCTCCCTTGCAGGGGTGCTTGAGTCCCTTCCTGGTGACATCCAGTGGCTGGTGACCTGCACACCTGCTCTGTCAGCCACTCACCAAGAGGCAGCCTCGGCTCGCTGGTCTGGGGAGGGCTGGCCGGGGCTCCTGGACTTGGACTCCAGGAAGGGCTCCAGACTTAGCCCCTCCCTGACCTCTGTCCCCCTCTGCCAGCCCAGATGAATGGCTGTGTGTGTGTGTGTGTGTGTGTGTGTGTGTGTGTAGTAATCTGTTCACTTTTTGCAAATCTATTTTTTAAAAGTTTCTCAGAGGCTGCTCCTGGCAGGATGGAGGTTTCTTGGGGGTGGAGGTGGCCATGGCCATGCACCCATCCTGACACGTCCTAGATGACATTCTCAAACAGCTGCATGGAGCTCATGATGTTCTCATCCTGTGTGGAGAGAGGAAGGGAGGCCAGTCAGGTGCTGGGTGGGGTCCAAATACCACCCCGCTGAGCAGATTCCTGCCAGGGACTGAGTCTGGCAACTTGTCTGTCTGTCTGTCTGTCTCTCTGTCTGTCTCAATGAGAGAAGGGGAGCTGGGGGCAGGGAGGTGAAGTAGCTGGTCCCCAGCCGGTGATGCACAGCCTGTCTTCAATGCCACGCCTGACTGTAAGCCCATCTGGTACAAGCTGATGAAGGGACGCTGGCTGGCCCCAGCGGAGGAAGGGGCTAATCAGAGCTGCTTTGAGAATGGGGCAGTGGAGGTGCCAGAGGCCCAGTGTCTTGTCCCCAAGATGCTCTCTGGAGGGGCCAGCAGCAACAGTGTGGAGGCTCTGGTGACTCCCTGCAGTGATTCTCTCCCTCTGGCTGGCCCCTTGTCTGCCCCTGACTTGAGGCTCTCCAGGGTGGGGCTGAGGGAGGGTATGGAGGTGTAGGGGGATGCTGTGGGCTGCAGGGGTGGGTGAGGAGGAGGATGAACTCAGACAAAAGGGCGAGTGGAGCTTGGGGTTGCCCAGGAGGTGGTGAGGGGCCAAGGATAGCTGCCATGTCCTGGGCTGGCAGGGGCGGGACTGGGATGGGGGAAGGGGTGGACAGTGCCTACCACCCACCTCCGAACAGAGCTGCAGTGAACTGTGGCCCGGCCTCCTGTGCTGCCTACCTTCTGACAGGTCTCCAGGAATTCTTCAATGGTCACCACCCCATCCTTGTTCCGGTCCATTTTCTGCAAGCCAAACCATGCCCAAGGTGAATCTGTGCCCCAACAGAGATTGCCCTGCCCCTGGCCTGAGGACACAGCAGTCACGGGTAGGTGGGTGGGCTCCCTCCACTCCAACTTGTCCCCTCTGCCTACTCTGTCCCTACTCTGTATCCAGGCCACATAAGGCACCCTCCATAGCCACCTCCCACCCCACTGCTGAGGCTCCAAGCATCTCCCCACTGCCCCCCAGGCCACTTCCATGAGCCTACCTGGGCTTGAGTTTCCCAGAATTTGTCCCCATGTTCATCTGACCCCTCACCTCCCTGACAGGCAGCCAGGGCAGAGGGAGCAACAGAGTCACAGGATGGCCTATGTCTAGTGGCCCCAGCAAGTGGGAGGCAAAGCCTGCAGTCTCTGCAGCCCCCATGCATACAGGTGAAGGCCCCAACCCGCTCCTGTCCCAGAGTGGCTCCCTGGAGGAGCCACACAGCTCTCAGGAGGAACAGAGCTCCAGCCTGGGGTCAGCTGCCTTGGGATCCCCAGATTAGGTCCACAGGGCAGAGCGGTGGTGTGAGTCCCTTCTCAGGGGTTCTGACAACCAGCCAGATTGGAGGGGCAAGTTTAACCTACTTGTGGGGAGTGGGGGCGCTCGGAGCGTCAAGCCACTTCCCCAAGGTGGCCCCAAGAGTGAGAGCTGCTTCCTCTGCCGGGCTCCCCTCCCTGGGCAGGGGCTGGTGGTTGCTCACCTGGAAGAACCTTTCCACATGCTCTGCTGGCGCATCCTCCCGCAGAATGGGGTAGGTGTGTCGGCCCATCATGTCATAGATGGACTTCATGATGGCCAGCATCTCCTGGAGGGGGAGGCTAGCGTGAGCCTGCTGCAAGGCTGGGGTGGCTGCGAGGGCCCAAAGGGCAGCATCCAAGGGTGCAGGGTACCTCTAGGGCAGTGACGAGTGAGTGCGAGGGGCTGGATGAGCTCAGTAGAGGAGGCTGCTCGCTTCCAGGGTACCCAGAACAAGCTTCTGACTGTAGGGGAAGCTCATCTCCCAGAAGAGTGGGGGATGGGTTGTTATGTGCATATCTCCAAATGGTGACACTGCAGCAGAAAAAGTGCTTGGACCAAACAAAACCTGTCTGAGGGCCCTTGTGGGAGGGCTCCCGTCTCCACCTCTACATTAAGGGACTAAACTGCCCCCTTCACTTGGTGGGGGCCAAGGCCAGGACCTCTGGCTTCTCCACTTGAGTCTCCCCCAGGCCTTCTGCGTAAGACAGGATGACGGAGAACACTTGCTGAGCTGGAATGAGCTGTGCTGTGCAGGGCACGAGCCCACACTCCACACCTGGGTGTCCAGGGCCTAGAGCCCGGGAAAGGAGGACAGCCCGCTGGCTGCTGTCCCCAGGGCCAGTCTCTGGATGGAGATGGGGAGAAGACAGGTGGGCAGCAGGAACGGGGAGAAAGAGCGGCGGGGGTGGAGAAACAGGAGGGGAGGAGGGCACAGCCCCGCCCCCAGCCCCCCACTACCTCTTTGGTGATGTAGCCATCCTTGTTAATGTCGTAGAGATTAAAGGCCCACTTGAGCTTCTCGTGGACTGTGCCCCGAAGCAGGATGGAGAGGCCAACCACAAAGTCCTATGGGGGAAAGGGAGGGCGGGGCGTGACAATCCAACGCCCAGGTTCTAGTTCCAGTTGCTGTGTGGCTTCCACTGAAATTCACACCTCCACGGGTGCACAGCCTCCCTAATAGGCCGATGGCATCCATTCAGGTTAGCACAGGGCGAGTGTGTGCCCGTGTGTGAGCACATGCATGGTTGTGCACCTGTGTGAATGTGTGAACCAGTGTGAGTGCACATGCAAGTATCTGGGTGAGTGTGGCAGGAGTGGCATGGTAGCTGACATTTTTATGTGATGTCAAATAAAGTTATTTAAATATATATGGTGTTCTAGACCCATTTAATGCAGTGCTGCCACCAGAGAAGCCTGGGGGTGCTCTTTTAATAAAGGAGGTGCTCTACTTTTAGTCTGACAAACATCTGCATGGCAAAGGTGTTTGAAAACTTCCAGCTTAAAAAGCTAGAGGAATGATGCTTAGCTTTTTATTTTTTGGGTTTTCTTTTTAGAGACAGAGCCTCAGACTGTCACCAGGCTAGAATGCAGTGGCATGATTACAGCTCAATGCAGTCCCAAACTCCCAGGCTCAAGTGATCCTCCCACCTCAGCCTCCTGAGTAGCTGGGACCACTTGTAGTAGTCCATGCCTGGCTAATTTATTTCATACTTATAGAGATGGGGTCTCACTATGTTGTCCAGGCTGGTCTCCAACTCCTGGCCTCAAGTCATCCTCCTGCCTCGGCCTTCCAAAGTGCTGGGATTACAGGGGTAATCCCAGGGCCATCTTGCCCAACCCTGGTGCTCAACTCTTGAGTCATGACATGCTGTGTGTGGCCATCACCTCTGGCAAGTGACACTTTATTATTAATGCGAATGATTGTTCAAATGGTTTCCTGTGACAACAGCAGTTGGCAGAAAGCCAGTCTTTCCCCCACTTCTTGGAAGGTTTAAAGGTGAAGCCCTCTCCGCACCCTGGGGTCCTCCCAGGCTACTCTGAAAGAAGGGGGTCAGAAAAGGGCTGTCCCAGCAAAATGGGATAGAGGTCAGTCAAACTGCGAGAGACAGGACCATGCACCAAAGCCTGAGGCCCCTCAAGTGTTAGATTTTGGGGATTGGAGGAAGTCTGTACCATGAGAGAGAGAGAGGCAGAGAGAAACAGATGAAAGTGATTTGGAAGAACAAAAACTATTAGGTTGAGAGATTATAAATCTTGCATCACTAAAATAATAGGATGTCGTAAAAAAGGAGCAACTGGAAAAAAGAAAGAGCTCTTAGAAATTAAAAATAAGAAAGCAAAATGACAGATTTAGAAGAAAGGTTGGGAGAGCAAATGGAATCTTCCATGAAGTGGAATGAGAAGACAAACAGCTGGAATATAGGGGAGAAAAGAGGATAATGAGAGGTGCCCTCCAGAGGGCCAAAGGTGGACATAGGCGGTTTGGGAAGTACGGGAGGAAAGCGGGTCAGAGCAATCAGGAAAGATATCCCAGAAAGGAAGTGAAGATTTTCCGGTGTCTACCAGGGCTTGGCACAATGCACGAAAACAGCATGTAGTTTAGCTGCAGGCACAGATCATGGTGAAATTTCAGCAAATTGGGTACAAAGAGAGGATCGTATAAACTTTCAGAGAGAAAAGCAAAGCCAAACAGAAAAAGCAAAATCGGGTCCCATTCATGGGTGAGAGTCAGCAGGGGAACCTGCTGTGCAGCAGCACCTGGGACAGGAGGCCCAGGCAACAATGCCACCCCCGCTCTGAAGGAGAACAGCTTCCCCTGGGAGTGTGGGTCCCTACGACAGTTCAAGCAAGAGTAAGAACAGAATAAAGACACTCCCAGGTGCTCAAAGGCTCCAAAGTTACAGCCCACATCCTCTTTTATAGGAAGCGGCTGGGTGGTGAGCCCCTGAACACACAGAGAGTAAAGCAAGGGAGAGGAAGATCAGGGATCCCAGAACCAGGAGGCCCCGCCCAGCAGAGATGGGAGGAGGCCCCAGAGGGCACCAGGCCCCAGTGAGGATGGAGCTGTGGCAGGTTGTGGGGACCTCCTCAGGCAGATGCCCGGCAGAGGGTTCAGATGACTGGAGAAGGGCCTGGGTTAAATGAATAATGAGGTCACAGAACGCCAGGCAAACGCATCATCAGAACCAATGTCAACTGTAGGCAAAGGAAAGGAAGACATCATCGCAGTGGACAGCAAGCTCAGTGAGGGCTCCAGTTCACACATCAGGGTAAACCAAGGCCTTATCCAACCTGAAGTCTAGAGTCTGTTGGAAAGCTGGGCTCACTGCAGTCCCAAACTCCTCGGCTCAAGCGATCCACCCACCTCAGCTTCCTAGGGGATGGGTGGGGGCTGGGGGATGGGAAAGGTGTGTGTCTGAGGGAGTCCCAAATTCTCACAGCAGGGCGTTGAAAAGTGAAAGGAGCCTCCTGGGGACATGAAAACAAGCACTGGCACCTGCCTACAGCAAACAAGGTGGTCACCTGCTGGTTTCCCACGTGCACCCTGAGAATCTGTTGGACTCCAGTCATGCGTGTGCAAAACTGAAGACAAGGAAAAAAAATTTTTGTGAGACACAATCCCACTCTGTCACCCAGGCTGGAGTGCAGTGGTACATTCTCAGCTCACTGCACCCTCTGCAAGTGATTATCTTGCCTCAGCCTCCTGAGCAGCTGGGGGTACAGGGGCTTGCCACCACGCCTGGCTAATTTTTTTGTATTTCTAGTAGAGACAGGGTTTCACCATGTTGGCCAGGCCAGTCTGAAACTCCTGACCTCAGGTGATCTGCCCGCCTCAGTCTCCCAAAGTGCTGGGATTACAGGCACCCAGCCAATGAAAATATTTTAAAGGAGAAACACCCAGGTGTTGTGGCTCACACATGCAATTCCAGCATTTTGGGAGGCTGAGACAGCAGGATGGCTTGAGGCCAGAATTTCAAGACTACCCTGGACAACATAGTGAGACGCTGCATCTACAACGATTAAAATAAAAAAAATTAGCCAGGCATGGTGGCATGTGCCTGCAGTCCCAGCTACTCGGGAGGCTGAGGTGGGAGGATCACTTGAGTCCAGGAGGCCAAAGCTGCAGTGAGCTATGATGGTGCCAGTGTACTCCAGCCTGTCTAAAAATAAATCAAAAAATTAAAAATTAAAAAACAAAGGAGAAATATTGTTACATTTCTATTACGGCCAAGTTTAGGGAGTAATAACCACTGAAGCTTGGGCATGGTTTACACCCTAGTGAAGATTTTAAGTTATCCCTGAAGCCCTGGGTCAGACAGGCCTTCCTAGTGGGCGGCAAAAGCATGGAGCACAGTGTTCTCCTGTGGACCCTGGGCAGGCACCACTGTCTTCCACCTTGTCTTCAGCTGGCATGGCCTGTCAGGTGGTCTGTCGGTCTGCAGCGGAGAAGCTGCAGAGCCTGCTGCTAGCAACTGGGGAATGTCCCCATCCAGTGTCCCTTAGCTTCTCTCAGTGTGTTGGGTACGGTAGTGACAGTATTAGGAGATGGTAAGAATGTCCTGTTGGGCCACTGGCTAGTCTCCATTCATAAAGGTAACACACAGATGACCCCAAGTCCAGCCAGCCCGTGTCTGAGTGCACACTGGTTCTAAATTCTTTGGCCACCCACAGTGCAACCATGGCAAGTTGTAACTCCATGCTCTGAATGCCAAAGTGTAGGAATCCTGTCACATCCACAGCCTCTGCTCTACAGCTGTTCCCATGGCAGGGCCTAGGCAGGGTGAGGTCTCCAGCAGGGACACAGCACACTTCCAGGCGAAGGTGCATCAGGGCGCACAGGAGGGCCGCCTGGCAGAGCCCGGAGCAGGTGCTTAGCGAGGGGCTGGGAGGCGCATGTGGTTGCCAAGCTCGCAGGCCTGCCCTCATGCTGCCCTGGATGCTGCTTGGCCAATGGCACATGGAGCAGTTTGCTGCCAGGGGAGGTAAGAGAAGCGGCCACACCTCCAGATGTACCTATGCCTGGATGCTACTTCCAAGCTGGGCCTGACTTGATCCTGGGCACTGGAGAGGCCCCGAAGGTCTATGGAATCGTTCTAGAAGCTTTACACATCTCTGGCAAGCTAGATGAGTTGCATGAGCAAGGCCCTGGTGGCCAGAGTGTTCAGCAAATCTGTGTGTGGCGCTGCTCGCAAGGGGCTCCCTGCCTCTGGCAAATCCCAGAAGGTCTGCGGGGATGGGAGCAGGAGCCATTCAGAGGTGGGATATGAGACGGCATCACCTGCTTGGCTCTACTGAGGTCTGCATGTTTTCCAATTTGGTCTTTTTGGGTATGCTTTTTGGTGAGGAGAGGGAGGGTATATTATCTTTTACCAAATACACAAACTGTAACTAACATGCATCTTGTCTCTAAGAATATACAGAAAGGGACAGGACCATTGCAGACAGTGTCACGTCGGCTTGCCTTGCATCATAGGCGTATGTGGGAGGCTAAGGCCTGGCAGTGAGGATGGCTGGTGGGTGTCCTCCAGACCAGATTCGGTGCCTCCACTCCTGGCAGGATCCTTTGTAACCACTGGGATCCCAGCTGCGGGGCTCCCAAGATGGGGCCATGGGGGCTTGCGCCCTCCTCCTTCCCAGAGCAGAACACTTTGAAATCAAGAAGTTCCTCCAGGTAAATGTACCTGTGTGAAGCCAGAGGACTTCGCTTCATGTGCAGAGAGGCCACAGAAGGTTCGGAAGATGCCAGGGATGAGCGACCTTCTGAGAAGGTGCCCAGGAGAGGGGACGCAGCTCAGCCACTGACAGACCCAGCCCAAAGGGCTGCTACCTCCCTCCTTAAAGGGCCACAAGGCTGTCCCTCGGGAGAGTGAGGGAGATGGCCACAAGAGGGGAGGGGCGACTGCGAGCCTCCTGAGCACCGGCCATGCCCATATGCAGGGGCCCTGCTAAGCCTCTGAGTCTTCTCATTCCAGAACAAGGAAAACCACTCCTGGCTGCCTGCTCCCTTACATGGATTCCTAATGACGCTTTACTGCCTGAAGTCTCAGGCGCCTCTTAAAGGGCACCCCAGGAGGGAGGTGCAGGTAAAGGACCATGAGTCCTCCCTAGGCTCCTCTGAGCTGACTGGGTGTTTTCTGTGTGCTGTGGGGTTGGTATTTCAGGTATTGCTGAAAACAAGATTTGAAAACACTGTCTGCTTCTACATGCAGAGCCCCAAGTGTGGCTCAGAGTGGAGGGGTCCTGTGGTCACAGGGCAGGCAGGGAGTGTCAGTGTGCCCGGCGGGCCTGTGGCATAAAAATAACGCTCGCAGGTTTATCGACGAGTTATTATTACCCGCTGTGGCCGGGGCCTTCTGGCCCCATGTGCTTCTCTGTGCTTTCCTGTTAGCTGCCCTTGGCCTGGAAGCTGAGCTGTTGGTGTATCGATCAGGCCGGCTCTCAGCAAGGTTTTCCTCCCCAAGGTGGTTTCAGCTTTTCGCCTACAGCTATTTTTAGAGTCTTGCGTTCCACAGATGGGGCCTCTCTCCAATGATCCCATGCGGCGGGGCTGGGGAGGATCCCAGGCCAGGCCCCCACAGGGAAGCTGTCTGGGTAGGGGACACGCTTCTCCTTCCACTGGAGGGTAACATTAGGCTTTACTCTCAGTGCCCAGCTGGGATGAGCCCTGGAGGCTACTCAGGCTGGGATGTTTTCTAGATATTTCTGGCCTATTTTTCTGGGTAACAAGGAGTAAATTCTGAAGCTGGAGGTCTCACATCCCACTATCAGCAAACTAGGCCTCTGAGTTAAGCCCTGAACCCTTTGAAAATGCAAATCCCTGATTGGTCGCCACCACCCCTGTGTGCCTCGGGGGCTCCCTTGGTCAGGCAGAGCTGGATAAAAACTCTTGAATGGAAGAAAAGGCTGAGAATGCAGTGCTGGCCCAGCAAAGTCAAACACCCCAGACCTCACCAGCCCAGGGCCAGCCACATCCACTCGGTCCCAGGGTGACACACCAGATCTTTTCCAACCAGGACCATGGCTCTCTCGACAGCCCTGAGAGTGATGCCAGGGCTGGGATTCACCCCTGCAGCCACCGGAGCAGGACATGTGGGAGGAATCCTCGAGGACCTACCTCAAAGTGGATGGCCCCGTTCCCATCGGTGTCGAAGGCGTTGAAGAGGAAGTGTGCATAGGTGGTGGCATCTGGGGAGGGCAAGAAGAGGCTGGGGTGCGTCGGGGCTGCCTGGTGGTTAATCCCACACCCCAGGCAACCCCAGCTGGGGGTGCTGTGTCCTGGTTGGCAGTCCCTGTTTCCCACAGGACAGGGGAGCACCAAGCTTCTAGGATGCAAGGGACAGCAGGAGGGTCCCCTCCCTCCACACTGGGACACAGCAGGGCTCCCTGGCCTCGGACTCACCTCCCTGAGGGAAGAACTGTGAGTAAATGAGTTTGAAGGTGTCTTCATCCACCAGGCCCGTGGGACACTCCTGCAGCAGGAAGGCACCCTCTCAGCACTCGGCCACCCCCAGATCCAAGCCCGGCTCCACGGAACTGGCCTTTCTACACCCCCCTGGGGGCTGCCCGCTGCCTGTGGCACTGCTGGGGACCCCTGGCCTGGATTTCAGAAAGCCCAGGTAGGGGTGGGGTGAGAGGGAGCAGGAGTGAATAGGAAGTGAGTGGCTGCTCCCCCATACCTTCCTCCTCTGTACCAGAAGCAGAGACACAGAGGGAGGAACGTGGCAGCCTCAGCAATGCCCATTCTGGGGTGTGCCCCCGCTAGATAGCGTTCCCACAACCTTAGAGGCCCCTGGGATATTTACTTCTCCCTGGCTTGGAGAAGTTTCCTGGTCTCCCTGGGCCAGGGTCTTCAAGGCCTTTCCCAGGGGAATGGGGAACACTCACGTTCTTGAAGCCCCTGTAGAGGGACTGCAGCTCCTTCTTGGTGAACTTAGTTTGGGCCTGCAGTTCGTCCAGCCCCTCTGGCTGGTGGCGCACCGTGGATAGCTCCAGCTCACTGTCGCTGCTATCTGGAGTGGGACACAGACCAGAGAGGGTAAGGCCTATAGCCCTGCTCCTCCATCTTGCTGCAGTGTGGGCAGATGCCAGGGCATGGGATGAAATAGTGGGTGGAGGAACTCTCCTTGCATGACTACCATGTACAGCCACACAGGCTGTGCACTGCACAAACCGAGGGGCTGTGACTGAGTGGCCCATGCAAGAGCTGTGCCTCTGCTTTCCTGCCCACAATAGGGTGGGCCTCCCAGTCGCAGCCCTGGCAGTGTGCCCACCTGTCAGCTAGCTGCACGGCGGGACAAGGTGGGAGCTGCTCTTGTCCTAGAGAGGCATGAACAAGGGGATACAGGAGGCGGAAAGACAGCAAGAAAGGCATGAGGGACCCTTGAACTTCAAGATCCATTTCTAGTCCACTCCTCCACGTGGTCCTCCTTGACTTCCCCCAGGAATGGAGAAGGCACCTCCCTTGGCCCTCAAAGCCTAAGGTGATGCTGTTCAGTTACATTTGGCAGAGGTGCGTCATTCACATCTGGGTAGGAGGCTAGACCTCCAGGGCTGTGGGAGCAGGTATCAGACCTTTTCTTTAAATACACAAAAATGTTAACTATCCATGGCTACCTTTGCAGAGGAGATGCGATTTCAGGTGAATTTACTTTTTTACTTATGATTTAAAAAAACATTTTTCTAATTTCTTTTGGTGTGACATGCATCACTTTTACAATGAAAAATAAAGCTAGGGCTGAAACAGTACTGAGTGACCACACCTTGCTGAGCAGCATCCTCGCATAACTAGAGAGCGCCACCTTCCCACAGACTCAGGACACACGCTCCCCGCTGCACCGTGGCCCCATCTCCCCTGGGCCACACAGAATGGATGGTGGTGATCCATGATCACCCACATGGCTGCTGCTGGCTGCTGCCTCTCCCACTGCACAGCGAGCTTTTAAGGAGCAGCTGTTCTGCACAGCTCGTCCTGTGCCTGTGGTGCCTGGCATGGTGCTGGGCACCGGTACTGTGCTGAGCTTGGTCCATACCCAGGCCTTTCCTGAGAGCGTAGTGGGAAAGACAGCCTGCACTGCCCACTCTCACTAACCACAAGAGTGCCCTGAAAGCCGCTCAGCAATTGTGCTGTTTCCTTGGTCCACACATGCTCCCAGTCTCCAAGGTAACTACTTCATACCTTCCTTCCCTTTAAGTTTCCAGTATCTCCTCCCCCATCTTTATCCTCAGGTTGCTTTCCACTTTCCACTTTCCTGAAAAGATAGAAGCTATGGAGGAAAACTTCCCCAAGCCCTCACCCCACACCTACCCATCCGCCAGCACCTGGCCCAGATGTCTGCACCTCTGCCAGCTCTGTGGCTGATATGTGCCTGCTCCCCGTGAAAGCAAACCTGCCGCATGCGTAGTGGGTCCCGACCCCTCTCATCTACCCACGCAAGTGGTGCCAGCTAGTCTCCCACTCTTTCCTCATTGTCTTTTCCTCTCTTCTGGATCATTCCCATCACCATATAGACATACTGTGGAATCTGGAATCCTTAGTCAAATTAAGTATAGGCAAACCCTGTAAACAAGCATCCCACACTGGGCAAGCATCTCACACAGACTCTTCCCCAGCCGAGGGGCCTGCACAAGGATGCTCACAGCAACAGCATTTTTGGTGGGTGAGTTGGAGGCACCTCAGGGGTCCATGTCAGGCAGAATGGGTAGGCAAAATATGGAGGCTGCATACCCAGGGGAACTGTGCCATGGAGCAAATGTTCACACAGCAGTGTGGATGGATGGATAGTAAGAATCCTTTGATTAAGAGGTCAACTTTTCAGACTGGATGGAAAAGCAAGATTCAACTATATGCTGTTTACAAGAAGGATACTCCTAATACAGACAGATTTAGGCCAGGCGCTGTGGCTCACACCTGTAACTCCAGCACTTTGGGAGGCCAAGGTGGGTGGATCACCTGAGGTCAGGAGTTTGAGACTACCCTGGCTAACACGGTGAAACTCCGTCTCTACTAAAAACACAAAAATGAGCCAGATGAGGTGGCGGGCGCCTGTAATCCCAGCTACTCAGGAGGCTGAGGCAGAAGAATCGCTTCAACCCAGGAGGCAGAGGTTGCAGTGAACTGAGATCATGCCATTGTACTCCAGCCTGTGTGACAGAGCCTGAGACTCCATCTCAAAAACAAAAAATAAAAACAAAAACAAACAACCAAAAAAACAATGGAAAAACATTAAGAAAGCTGGATGTTTTATAATAATATAAGGATTAATTCATCAAGAAGACAGAATAATCTGAAATAGACATTACCTAGTAACAGAGCTTTTAAATACTTGAGGCAAAAAATACAGAGAGAAAACTAATTAAGCCACAATCATAACTGGAAGATTTTAGCATCCTTTTCCAGTAAATGGTATGACAAGTGGTGATATAAAAGATTTGAAAAACACCATCAACCAGTTTGACCTAATGAATATTATAGAACACTGTATAGTTAGTTGTAGACTACACATTCTTTTCAAGAGCATGCCTGTGGTTACCAAGATATATCAGATGCTGAAACACAGACTCTTACCACAATGGTATTAAGTTAAAATTCAGAAAAAGATATTTAGAAAATCTCAAGTAGTTGGAAATAAACAATACATTTCTAATTAGCTCATAGGTCAGAGATTACACTGCAAGGTGATCACATTTTGAGATATTTTGAATTGAATGATTAAAAAAACAGCATATCAAAATTTGCCGGAAGCAGGTAAAGCTGTGCTTAGATGGAAATTTATTGCTTTCAATTCCTTTATTAGAAAAGAAGATAGGTGTAAAAGCGATGACGTAAGCTTCTATATCGAAAAGTCAGAATCTAAAAAATGCCCAACAAATTAAATTCAAAGTAAAAAGAAGAAAGAACATAATAAAAATAAGAGTAGAAATCAATGACAGGCTGGGTGCGGTGGCTCACACCTGTAATCCCAGCACTTTGGGAGGCCAAAGTGGGTGGATCACTCGAGGTCAGGAGTTTGAGACTAGCCTGGCCAACATGGCAAAACCCTGTCTCTATTAAAAATACAAAATACAAAAAAAAAAAAAAATAGCTGGGTGTGGTGGCGCATGCCTGTCATCCCAGCTACTTGGGAGAGTGGGGTGTGAGAATCACTTGAGCCCAGGAGGTCGGAGCTTGGAGTCAGCTGAGATCGCACCACTGCACTCCAGCCTGAGCAAGAGTGAGACTTCGTCTCAAAAAAAAGAAAGAAAGAAAAAGAAAGAAAGAAAGAAAGAAAGAAAGAAAGAAAGAAAAAGAAAGAAAGAAAGAAAATCAATGACAAATATAAGCATAGAGGCAAACCTTATGATAAAGTCATTAAGAAACTCAAAAGTCATAGACTGGAAAAACATATCACCAGTACACGTATCTGTCAAAGGACTCATTTCCAGAATACACAATAAACTTCTACAAATGAACTTAATAAGACCAATAACTCAATTTTTTTAAGCGATGGGGTCTCACTCTGTTGCCCAGGCAGGAGTGCAGTGGCTACTCACAGGGGCGATCCCACTACTGATCAGTACAGGAGTTTTGACCTGCTCCATTTCCGACCTGGGCCAGTTCACCCCTCCTTAGGCAACCTGGTGGTCTCCTGCTCCTGGGAGGTCACCATATTGATGCCAAACTTAGTTCGGACACCCGACTGGCACAGCGCACTACAAACCAGAACTCCTGGCCTCAAGTGATCCTCCTACCTCTGCCTCCCAAGTAGCTGGGACTACAGGCACGTGCCACTGTGCCCAGCATAACTCAATTTTTTAATTAGGCAAAAGACAAGGACACTTCACAAAAGAAGATATACAACTGGCCAATAAGCATAGGAAAAGGTGCTTGACAGCATTAATCATCAGAGAAATTCAGGTGACCCAATGCGAAATGCAAAATATCCAACCATCTATTGTCTCAAAAAGACCAATAACACTAAATGTTGGTGAGGATGTGGAGCAACTGGAACTCCAATATATTATTGATTTAAGTGTAAACTGGTATAACAGTTCTTCAGAACTCTTTGGCAGTTTCTTATAAAGCTAAAACATACATCAGCCTTATGACTTATTTACCTAGGACAAAAGATATACATCCACAAAAAGACTTATGCAAGTATATTCATAGTAGCTTTATTCATAATAGTCCCAAACTGGCAACTATCTAAACAGAAACATTGAACTGTGGGACATTTATGCAATGGAATATTATTCTCCATTAAAAAAGGATGAACTGTTGATATATGCAACAACATGCACACATTTCAAAAATATTATGCTAAGCAAAAAGCCAGATGTAAAGGAGTTTAAACTGCATGATTCCATTTAACAAAGTTCTACAACAGGCAGCACTAATGCATTGTGAAAGAAAGCGATACAGTGGGCGGTTGTTACAAGGGTGTATATGATCGTCAAAACTCACTGAACTGAACACTGAACATCGGTGCATTTTGTTGTATGTCGATTATAACCAGTTAAGAAGAAAACATGCTGATGACACTTCTCCTTTCAGTTATAACAGGATAGTGAGTGTCAGGCTTACCGTCCCAGTGCAAACAACTTTAACACTGCAAGAAATAAATGAGGAAAATGTTTTCAGCCTTTGGACTATAGCACAGGGGTGCAATTTTTGAAAGCAGGGGAACTGAAGGGAGCTGCATATTCGCCCTGGATATCTGCCTGGAGGTACTTTCTAGACCATGGTACAGGGAGGTGGGGCACATGCCAGGGAGCAGCAGTCTTGCTGAGCTGACAAGTCAGAGATCAGTTTGGGGCTGTTAAGGTGGGGTGGAATTTTCAGAGCAGAGTCCTGGAGAGGAAGAAACTAAAAGAGTGGGCCCAGAAGTCGGAGTGGGGGCCTTGGCCAAGGGCTAGGCTACACATGCTTAGAATGAGATTCTATGAGGCTCAGAGGAGAGCAGCTTTCTGCAAGGGAAGAGGTGGGTAGGGAGACAGAGGGCTGAAAGGACATATGAGAATTCACACAGTGGTG